TTATGTACGAATTTCATGTCAGTCTTTGTAGTGCACGGGCTCAAATAGATGCCCTTTTCCTGCCACAAGTTCTAAGTAAAATTCATAAATTTCAACATGTTGTTAAGGTTCTACTGCTAGACAGTGACATGCAAAATGACCCTGGGTCTATAAAAGAAAAGCATTGAAATGAACACACAAATTGCGCTATGAAACATTTGTGAACATCGGGCGTGCTGGAGGCATCCTTGACGAATAGTTTGGCTTCTTCATGTTGTGGCCTCGTAGATAAGTCTACTTGTCTTAAAGTTGGCTCCAACAACACACTGTGCCACAAATGTTTCATCGCTTCGATTGTGCATTTAACCCCGAACTTCAACCTTTTTCATACAAATGATACTGTCTAATGAAACTTTAAGCATTAATAATAAAATAAATGTAGGGCAAACTCCCCACTAGTGGTGCGAAGGCAGAGGCCGAGCCGTGGAACTGATGGCATTCCCCTCTCAGTTTCCTTCCTCACCCTAAAAAGTCATCCCTTTCCTCACTTCGCTTCCTACCCCATTGTGTTTATGGTCTGCTAGCCACTTGCCTTCAGATTATGTCTATGTAAGCCTGAATCACGTTGCAAAGAAATTTTTCTCTCAGCAATATTTTCATCTATTCTTATTTCTCTTTCTCCCTCTTTTTTTTTACAGTACTAGTCCTCTTGTTCATCGATTTCTCCAGCAGAGGATGCAATATACTCGTGCTAGAGAAATCGATGCTTATTTAGGAGCAATCGCGATGATGACAAAGTGAGCACATGCCAGTTCATGGTGTGTTTCGGGTAACATCACACAAACTACGGCCAACTGAAACAGCTTCACTGCGAAACATGTGTAAATTCTTTACATGTAAGAATTCGAAAATTCAGGTGGCTAACAGTATTCTGTTAGTTATGAGCTGTTTGTAAACAGCAGTTGCTATGCTTACTCTGTGTCATGTGACTGTAGATATGAAATTGCACTTAAGACAAAAATAATCCTAGTAAAACGTATATACTATTGAACTTTAAAGATGTCAAAGGTTGAAAATCTCCACATCAAAAATATTCTCTTTATTTTAATGTGCCTTCAAGATGAAAGGCAAGGCATTAGGCTGTTTATTTGCTGTTTCTCTCTCTGTGGTTCTACTTGTTCAGAAGCAGTAGCACATCACTATGTCCTGTTTCTGTAAACAGGTTACAAGAAAAAACCAGTGGACAGTGGGAAACTATGATGGCAGAAGACCATAACTATTCAAGGACTGTTCCAGCCTCTAAGAAGTGCAAAATCTTCGCACCAACCCTCACAGAAGCTGACTTTTTTTTTTACACCGGCGTATCAGCAGATATATTTAAGGAATTGGCAAAGGCCATCACAGTTGAAAGAACCAAGAGGTTCAACATTTGTGTTGAGGATCAACTGCTGATGACCCCCAACGAGACTGCACTTAGGGCTCCTCTATGGGCATTTGTCCAGAATTTTTGAAAAACCAGTTGCCTCGGTGCACAGCATTGTGAAGCATACGTTGTTTGCACTATGCAAAGTAATGAAAAAAGTGGTCCTCTGGCTACCAAGAGAGACTATAAGAAACAGCATGCCACCTTCTTTCATTAACAGCGATTATGAAGGGACAACATGCATCAGTGACTGCACAGAGGTTTTTCTGCATAGATCAAAGGAAGCTGATGCCCCGAGCACAGACATATAGCAATTATAAGGTGCACAACACTGTTAAATTCTTGGTGGCCATTGTGCCAAATGGCTACATCATGCATGTGTCCGATGTGTATGGAGGACGAGCGTCTGACAAATTTATAACTGCCGACTGTGGCATTGAAGACCTCCTGGGTCCTGGTGATGAGATTATGGCTGACAGAGGATTCAGCCTAAGCCGAAACCTTGAGCGGCAAGGAGTCAAGCTGAATATACCGACCTTTACAAAAGGTAAGGAATGAACTGCTAACGCTTGATTATTGTTGTGATTGAAACATGTCAGCTAACGATCCATTTCCCCCACAGGGAGGCCTCAGCTCTCCGAAGGAGACGTCACCAGAACAAGGAGGATCGCTTCATTGCATATACACGTAGAACGAGCAATTAATAGAATCAAGACCTACAGAATATTCAAACAAGCATTGCCCATCAAATCGAAAAAGAGTATTGGCAATATGGTGCTTGTTTATGCTGGAATATGCAATTTGAAGGGTGCACTGATTGGAAACTAATTTACTGGTTGATAAGTGGGGTTTAAAGTTCCAAGACCACCATATGAATATGAGAGATGTCGTAGTGGAAGGCTCCCGAAATTTTGACCACCTGGGGTTCTTTAACGTGCACCCAAATCTGAGCACACGGGCCTACAATATTTTTGCCTCCATCGAAAATGCAGCTGCCACAGCCGAGATTCGATCCCGCGACCAGCGTGTCAGCAGCTGAGTACCTTAGCCACTAGACCACCGCGGGGAGGCCTGATTGCAAACTAAACAAGTGCTCATAAGTAGAGCAGCAAATCATGACTGTACATAACTTCAAAGGCCACTAAAGAGATACCAACTTTTCTTATCACCTCTCAAGTACGCGTGAAGCTTCAGAAAGCTGAGAGGTTATCGATTTACCTCAATGAACAGGGTCTAAAGATCTCGCCATCGAAATGCGGATGAATTACTTTTAGTCGAAAGCCAATGAGACCTTTCATACTCTTTATGTATCGACGGCCAAGTCATACCATATGTCAGGACACAGATTTCTAGGTGTATTCATTGATGGAGATCTCTGCTGTGGCCTACATGTGGCCGACTTGATGAAGTGGCTGACAGACATTGCTAACTTATTTCAAGTATCTTGGAGGAAAAACCTGGGGGACCTCAATACATGCAATGATGCAATTGTGGAAGACAAATTTTCTCTGCTATTTGCAACATAGCTTGTCAGTGCTGATCAATACCTGCAGAACCAACATTCACACACTCGAAAGCGTCCAAACTTTGGCTCTGCGAGTTTGTCTAGGGCTACCGTGATGTTCGTCAACAGCTGAGACGTATACGATTGCAAATGACTACCTGCCAAAGATGCATATCGTATTGGAAGCACTCAGAACACACGTGAGACATATTACCTGCCCCCCTGCCCATCATCTAGCCTCGCAGCCAGAAGACCGACGTTGTGCCTAAATTTGCCAGACAGTCTTGTATATCGTACACGCATATCTACGAGATATACAACTCCATCCACGATTGCAACTCCCCTATGGTGTAAGACTTTTCCATAGGTTCAACTCATGGTTCCAGGCATACGGTCCAAAACAAAGCTCTCGTCTTCAGCACTAAGGCAGCTGTCTCTTCTCCTGTTGTACGAGTACAGTGAGCATAACCATCTATATACTGACTCTTCAACTACAGTGGATGGATCTTCAGGGTCAGTGATATTTCCTGCCAGGACGACGAAGATTCGGTTATACCACCAGACGACATCGCCAACTGCGCAACTTGCTGCTCTACGTAGCGCAGTTAAAGCCATTAAACACCGAAAAGCCGAAAAATGGAGCATGTTCACGTACTCCAAGGCAGCAATACAGTGTTTGGTATTCACCTTATGCCGGGGACCTCATGAACAACTAGTGCTGGAAATTAGCTGCTCCACCACCTCTTCGACGAAGGACACGAAATCACGTTTCAGTGGCTTTCAAGTCACTGTGGCATATCGGGCAACGAACATGCCGATGCAGCTGCTCGATTAGCACACGAAGACAGTGTAGAAGAACCTATTTCATTCTCAAGGACTAATGCTGCAAAAAAGATGGAAAAATTAAGCCCCTGTTTAATTGAATTGTTCAAGTGAAAATTTTTTTGAAAAAGGCATGGATCAGAAATTTTTCTTCTAAGCTGCAAATCAAGAAGTCCGAGATCTGATTTCATGAATGAAACGCTAGCTGAGTGGGAATAGTTTGACATAATGAAACGTGCTGATGAACTCTGAACGGACTCAATAATGATTTTTAATGTTTTTAGATCGGGGTCCTAAACAGAAGACGCATACTCGAGTTTTGGTCTAATCAGTGAAGCAGAATGACAGTGAGCCCAGCCTAATGAATAGTAAAAAAATGGTGCCTATTCGTCCTTGGTGTAGCGACTGAAGGCACGGAGACATGCAACCCCTTGCAAGTAGCCTGGGGCAACAAACATTTGGCATCTGTAACTAGTAAGACAGCATGACCACTGGACTTATGGAAAAAAAGAGTAATATTTCGCTAAATTTCTCAATGCAAACAAGCAGGAAGGTTTGCTGCAGTCAGTAGAGTCCATCACATAAGCAGTTACATGTTTGTTTTCAGGCATGCTTTCAGAAAATGAGTGCTGCGATTGGTTGTAGAATTACCTTGCCTGAGATTGTGATAAGCAAAATTTTCAACAATCATGGCAGTCTCGAGACAGGACGCGTGCAATATATACAAAACGATACACAATATACTCATGCAAGAGATGCACTATGTATGTCTGGAATGGTTATGTGCAATATACAAGTGCACAATGATGACTCTTGGCAACAAATAACCTGTATTTGACACTAATGAAAAGAAAAATGGTGTGGCCTGCTGGCAAAATAGCAGACATATGAAGACATCATGCCTGGCATGTGCAGCTACACTCGTGCTCGGGCAGAACAGCTGAACCAAAACGCAAATGCAAGGCTATGATAACTACAGTTCAATTTAAAATCATGCCAGTGACTTTGCTCGGAATGAAAAAAAAAAACTCTTGAAATTTTCATGGGACATTTAAAGGCATATTAGCTAGAAGGCACTTTGAAGTGCATGAAAATTAAGTGTGCTCAATAGCAAGAGAGAACAAAAAAAATAATACTGACCAAGTCAAATACTTTTCTAAGAGTTATTGGGCTGTTCAATTTTTCATAAACAAGGTTCTCAAATCAGTTGCCTTATTTTTTTAGTTTATAAATTCATACCAAAAACAAGATTGGTTCACTTTACCCAACTGGGAACCGCATACAGGACAAGTATGACTGTTGAGGCTGACATTTTGACAAGAGCTCATGACATTTTGTTTCGAAGCGTGCATGTGAAAAAAAAATGATGGTTATTAAGGCGAACCCTGTACTACCATGTCAAGTTAACACAGATGCAATGCCCTGTGTCAATCAACTACATGTTGACATTCTGTTTACAATGTAGTGTTACACAAAAATTTTGTGGCAATCAGAAAAGTAAGTACTTACAAATTTCAGCCAACTACATTCAATGCTTTCAAATATACAATGAAAACAAATGCAATGCAGTGATGGTACATCAGCCCAGTGAGCTGACATAAACATAAAAGCCAACATTTTGCAAACTTCCACCTATCCATCTAATATCAAATGTACATTACAGTTTGCAAATGTTAACATAATCGGTGGAAATTGGTAGTGATTTATTTGCATGCGGCCTCTCTGCTTCTGAAAGCAGCTCTGTAAAATAAAATGTCTTGAGCCTTGGCATGCAGGCTGTGATAAAATTTTCAAAAATGGTACTTGGACCACTATGTCACTCTTCACACTCCTGACATAAAAGTAGCAAAGCTTCGGTCCCGTGCAAAACATCTGGAATTGCACTTGTGCATAATAACCATTAGGGCCACCTTCGGCAAGGAAGTAATTACCTGCAGCACATTTCACATCATAGTTGCCTTCATTTACCATTTCCACGCAGTCAATTACGTATGGGCACTTGATTTCTAGCACCATCTGAAAACTGTGTGGGGACACCAACAGCCAGGGAATGTCACGGCACACAACTGTGCCACACAGTGTTAAAGCAAAGCCAGTCTTCTCTGTGAACTGCCTGCGTGCAACATCCTCATACCTCTGCCCATGCTTAGTGGCAGCATTTCCTGAAAAGCTGGAGCTCAAAATTGAGTTGACAGCATTCGTGCAGGATGTCGAGCTCCTCTTCGACACTCTTTTTATGTTGGATGCTGTAAGGCGAATGCACCTTGCATCATGCCAAATGGCTTTGGTCTGGCCTCTCGTGCACTCCTCAAGTGAAGCTGCAGCTCTGAACGACAACTTTACCAACTCTTCATAAAATTTGTTGCAAGGGGCACAGCTGGTCGGTAGAGTGTCAATGTCGTCGGGGGGGCATGTAGAATAGGCTGGGCGGCCAGAGTTCTGGGTGGTCGCGGTTGAGCATTGAGCGTTTCATAAAGTAGCGAACCTCAAAAAAAAGGCAAAATTACAGCTGCTGCAACACAGTGCTCCGCGAATGCTACTTAGCTTCGCAGATTAAACGACAAATCACATTCCTCATGTTAATGAGCCAGGCTGGAAAGTTATTGGAACACCAAATTTTTGTTAACAGAACTTCAAAACTGTGAGCATGGAAACTGAAGTAGTGAACAGGTCTACCATAAATAAAATCTGCTCCACCGCCCCACAGGCCAGGTAAAAAAGCATGTTTAGCTGGCTCTGACTGCCCCGCGTGGTCTCCCTATTTCGTGTTTGACACGAATGTACGAGTAACACTTTCGGCTTACCTGGAACGTTGAACAGCCCCTGGTAACCCGAATCGCAATGTAAAGCTTGTATTTCTTCTCTCCCCAATGGCACGATGATATCTCGCGGCCGACGCTCTGCCATGGGGTCGGGGTGAACAGCAGTTCGGGGAAACTTGAAATTTATCTCTTCAATTGTTGAGGGCTCAACGTTACGTTTTGTTCCTTTATTCTATGCAGCAGCAACATTTGTGCACACTCTGCCGATGAGACAGCGATTTATATTTTCCATAGGACAGCGCCGACATGGCTGCATACTCTGGCTTGCCCAGCTACGCATGTGCAGCCAGCACGCAGGACCTCACCAGAAGGCCTCACGGAAATCCACGCGCGATGGGGCCTGCTATTCACTGCTTGCCATGGTGTCACCGCCCCCTTTACTAGCACAACATCTTCAATCACTTTGTGTGCCAGCAACTGGCCCACCCAGCCAGATTGCACGTAGTTATATGACTCTAATGCCTTATAGTTGCACACATGGCGAAGGTCGAACGCTTTCGCCTTTACGAGGTAATAGGCAATGTTCAGTTGTTCTATTTGTGGCCACTCGCGCGTGTCCTCTGCCCAGTCTTCAATATCGTCGGGGTGGGCGTAGGTCAAGGTATCTGCGAACAAGTACGATAGCCATATGTTTACTGCTGTAACTTTTTTGTCGGGAACGAGCACAAAGCATGTGCTCACTCACGGCGCCGTCAAATAAAAGTGGTAAACAGGGTAAGGAAAACAAATGACAATCAGCTTACCAGTTACTGACACTTGAGGTCGTGATGAATCTGGTACCAACGACGACACGCTGCAGTCTGCAGACGCGGGCTCATTCTTGCGTCGCTAGCGCGAATGAGCTGAACGAATGAAATATCGGCGAACACAGGCTGTTGCAAAGATCTCACACTAATGGATGAAGCGTCAGCTCGCGTACGCACAGCCCATGATGGCTATTACGCCCAACTTGCACGTTAGACGGCGCACCTTTCAATAAGGTGTATAGGACCAATTATTTTTAAAACATTTGGTATTTCATATAGGTACCATTCAGCTTGACTAGCAAATGCTATTTGACACGTTATTGAAATATCCGCACACCCCTAATAATATTGTCGTCGCCAATGGACCACCATCTTTTTGTGCAAATGTGATTCAGCATCTGTGAAACGAGTGTTTTTTTTTTTTTTGTGCTGTATCCCATCTCTCATTGAACACACCCTTGCTCATGCCTCAAGGTGCGTAAATGGAAAAAAGAAAATGTACCTGGCTGAAAGTGATGCCAATTCGTGACATGAAATGGGAGTAAAGACATAAGAATATTTGATGAAAACTGCCCTGAATCTTGTCTATTAGCAAGAAGGTTCAGTTTAAAGCACATCTTTTTTACTCTTAGCTTACATCAATAAACTAAGCATGAGTCTGTTCATAAGCACTTACTTGTTTGTTATTGCATTATTTGTATCATATTTTAAAAAATGCAAGGTCAAACAGCACAATTAACTCTGCCGAGATAGGAATGAAAGTACCATACACACAGCAAATTACAAAAAAAAAGTACCTTTTACAATACAGCACATGCCAGACAGAAAATGTAGTGAGTGCGAATACATTATGGCAATTCTTGCCTAAATCATGAGTGGCAACCTGGCTTAATTATGATTCTTAATATGCATAAAATGCATTTTCTGAGAAACTTTGGAAGCATCCATTTTCTGGCTCAAGTTGAGTCAAATGTCTACATACTCTGGGTGCTTTATCACGAAAAAATTAAAAGAAATGGCAAATTTCACATCAACATTTAAATGTTGTCCTGAAACAAAAAAAAAGAAAAAGCTATATCTTAATTGTTTTTGCCAGAGAATCTCGGAAATGACATGATTAAGACCATCACAAAATGTATTGAAAATTAAATATAAAGTGGGTTAGAAAATTACTTGTGAACTGCTTGGGGAATGTGAAGCCCACATATATTGTTACTACAGCTATGTGAATTGCTATATATATATATATTTTTTTTTTCACGGCAATAACACATGCAGCACAACACACCACATTCAGATGTTATTTGGCCTTTGGGGATAAAAGTATATTTTCACTTGGGATAAATTTAGCATAAAAATGATGAGCCTGACATGCATATTGCCACGTGTGTTTCATTTTGACAAAGTCTGGTTTCACGCACAGAGACTCTAAGCGACACTCGACGCAGATGGCACAGCAGTGTTCAAGAAGCTCCGCAATAACTTTAGATTACACTGTTGTGTTTGTGGATAGGACACAAGTTGTCTAGAGCTTAGGCAGCCACCAGCAATACCCTGGAATTTTCGGTAGCACATGTATAAAAGCAGATGCGCTGTACTGCTTGTCAGATTATTGATGGCCGACGCACTGTTTACCGCTATCAGGGCAGACTAAGTATTGCTTGTAGTTTGACTTTCTGTTTCTCAGCCAAAGGTTTGCTGAAATCAAAAGTATGGTCTCAATCCCACTGACTGCTGCAGTCTTCAACATCTTGATCACATGACAATGTTAGTTTTTATGTCTCTCCGTGAGATGTTTACATCTATAAATCCAGAAAGTTGAAATTTCAGTGTTCAATGTGTAGATGTAAAATTGCAAAATTATGAAATGCAATACTGACAGCTATCTTTTTTTGTTTTATATTTGAATTCATTTGGTGAAGCAGAGCAGTAAACAAGTGTCACTGTCCCCATTGATCCTTACAGCAGCTTGCATCCCAAGCTGCCTAGCATGGTGTAAGAGTGAAGGTTTCGAAACAAATGTCAAAATGAACCAATGACATGCTGCTCACAATGGCCTGCTTCTAGTCCCCCATTTTTTTTTTTCACATTAAGAATGGGATCTAAACAGCTCTTATAATTGCACAGCAGAAGTCCTTGGATACCATTATCATTAAAGACATATATAGCCATAACACTACAAATAAATTAATGTGGCAGGCCGAATAGCTTACCACATGATTTTTTAAAACTATTTGAAAGATTATCTTATCACCTGCAAAAAGCATTTCAATTCAAGGATTATGACCGTAGTATAAATTCAAGTCACTGCATAGTGGAAAGTACACCCAGCACTCGAAAAGTTGAGGTGGGTCCGACTTTGCTTTCAATTCTGATGACAGACAGTGCTGTGGTGTAACTGAGCTTGCAGATGACATAACAGGACAGATTTTGCTTGTTTTGGGATACGTGAAAGCGAAAACATCCAGTGTTACAAAATTGATTTCCAACTTTTTTTTTTATTCAAAGTAAATCGGAAGTCCCTATAGGAGCAGGTTTGCTCTGGCAATACATGGTTTCATTTTACATTTTCAAATGTTAGTAAAGGTTATGTTGCACAACAGTTTCTCGTCAAGCAGAATGAGAAATTATGTATACTAAATGCCTTCAGAAAACGTCTACAAAGGCAGATGCTGTCCTCATTGCAGCACTTGTTCACACTGGGCCAAGCAGCAGTACACGGCAGCATTCCAGCTCTGGTCTCTCATCCACATTGCTTCAGGGGTCAGCCTAGAAGTGGGGGAGGACAGAACAAAATGGTTTTAAATTCTGAGTTCAGCAACCTGCTGTCTAGCAACATTTTCACTTGTTTTTCAGGATAGTTGCATGCGAAAATGAGGGTGTGGAAGAGTCAGCACTTTTAGGTGTGTCAACCTCACAATGCAAGTGATAGAGATGGCATAACATTGAGTGCAGGCACCGACAACTGCACAAGAGGGTAAATCAAAGACTGAACTCAAGAAATGGAAGCATAGGGAGGTTTGCATTGTTAAAGAAATCGTGCTGTCGATTATGAAGATTTTAACCACTAGGCTCATGCAGGTACTGCTTCTTACTTCACTGTCTAGTTGGGCTTATAATGTAACCAATTAGGCAATCCAGATGGACATACAAACTGTTACAATGACATGTACTTATTTATAAATGAATTGATAGAAATGGAAGAAGGGTTGCTGTGCCAACTCATAGCAATCCCAGAGGCAAGACCCCTTCATCCTTCCTGTAACCTTGGCGTAGATATATCAATCGTGGGCCTATGTTATTCACAAAATACATTGCTCCTGTGTTTCTACTGATACATGCATGGCCATAGAGGACAATGCTGTGTGGTGGTGTGTAGCTGTAGATGACGGAGCATGTCGAGATAGAGGCGCTGAAGGCCACTTGATAAGCTATAAAAAAATGTCACTTTCAAACCCAATAAGCAAACATTTTTCTTATAATAGTGTGTTGTTACTACTGTGTCATTGTTGCACTCAACTTGTTAGAAGCACTTTTGGCTATTAGATACCTATAAATAAATCAATTGTAGTTAAAGCAATGAACCCAACACTCAAGTGACAGTAGCAACATACATCAGTGGTGCAGTAACCAGTGCTTCAGTATCAGTTGGTGGTAAGGCCTCAGCAAATTGCGTTTAAATGACATGACAAAGAGAAGGTAATAAGGGTGCCATTGCCTGAAATGTTTTCATGATTATATATACCCTTCACTTACGAATTACGGTGTACTGTCTGCCAATACGTCAAATTCATATGACATGTTTCTAAGGCACTCAATATTACATTCCAAAGAAAAAAGGTATTGCTTTGTGCAAGTAACTGAATATATAGTTATACTGCAATCAGTCAACTTA